GGGGGGGGGGGGGGGGGGGGGGAAGCGGGTTAATCGAAAGTTGATAAGGCTGTTGCATTTCGTGACGGCTGTCTGCACCAAATGTCTTGGGATCGTGTGTGCACTGCTGATGCAGAGGTTCCCATACGCCCTGGATACGATGGTATGTTACTTCACGCTGAACACGTTTGTGGGTGCAAAACACCCGTGTCGCTATTGCATCTTCCCCTCCCCCCCCCCCCCCCCCCCCCCCCCCCCCCCCCCCCCCCCCCCCCCCCCCCCCCCCCCCCCCCCCCCCCCCCCCCCCCCCCCNGGGATGCGAGGTCAATGGTCTAACGACTCCGGCATGCACGACTATGAGTGCACCACCCCCTCCCCCCGGACTCTTCGCCACATCCAACAAGAAGGCCCCATTTCCGATTGCGGCTGGCTTTTTCTTTCCCCGCTGTTTTTTTGTTTTACCTTCGGTGGTGTCCCTTGGCGGACTGTTTTTTGTCGGACTGCTGCACTCCTCGGTCGAGAAGATGGTGGTCTCTTCGGCCCCCGTGCTGACGCAGTATAGATTCGACTGGTCCGTACGGGAGGTGGGGATGCTGATGGCGGTGCTCGGCATGGTGGTGCTGCCGGTGAACGCGCTCGTGGGCCGGATGAGCATGTCCTGCGAGGACAGGTGAGAGGATAAGATAGGGACAAAGTTGTGGTGACCAGAAGGGCGGATGTTGTTTCCCCTGCTCTCGTCTTTTTTTGTTCTCGTGGGTTGTTGGTTGCTTGCGGTGGTGAGTGCGCCGCTGCTGCTGCAGCGGCTGCTGTCATGTCTCGGACGAGACCCACCCGGCCCAAGGTGGTGGTTCAATTTCCAGACCGGGAGCCTGAACAATGTTTTTCCTACGGCGTGGGGCGTTGTGTGTGTGTGTGTGTGCGTCTTTACATTTGCATCGACCGCGCTAACCAGCCGACCTATGAAGATTCGTCAGTCTTAGTGCGCTCCTTAGGGCCCTGATCTGGGATCCCGTATGGGGGGGGTGTCCATGTCATTAATTCTGGCGTCAGTCTCACACCTCTCGGGTGTATGTGTTTGGACGTGTCAGCCAGGGTCACCGAGGAGATAGGAAGGTCACACCCACAGCTTATTTTTGTCAATTTTCCCACCCCTACCTGGTCCGGTGAGAACCCGGCGTTCTCCGTCCCGGATTTGTCGGGATGCGAGGTCAATGGTCTAACGACTACGGCATGCACGACTATGAGTATGAGTACACCCTACCTCCGGTGGTACATCGTTTTTGTCGCGAGAAGAGGTTATGGCCTTCCCGTTCCCTCGTTGGCCATGAAGCCGAAGTGTGTAACTTACGGCGTTAATAATATTCCACTGCGAATTGTAGGCAAAGTAAAACCCTCAGAGAGAGAGTCGAATCCACAACCTTGTGGGTCTGCGGGGTTAACCACTAGACGAGTGGGGTGACCCTTTGTTGCCTACGGCGCCACAATGATACGCATGACGGCCAGTTTTGCTGAGGCGCGAGCAACATGGTGCTCTGACCCCCGCAGCCACGACTACGGCATGCACGGCAATGAGTACAAACCCTGTTCTACGTTATTTCGCTCTCCTTTAATCCAGGGTTATGCTCCAGGTGCTGGCGGTTTTCGCCGGCATCGGCTGCCTCGTGATGGTTGACTTTGCCGCGTCGCCGTTCCGTTACACGGAGGGGCAGTACGTCGCAGGGGTCAGCCTTGCGTTTGTGGCGATGCAGGCTCACGAGGGGGTGATCATGTCGATCACGTCGAAGATCATTCCCGTAGAGCTGGCCAAGTGAGTTAGATGTGTGATGATACGTGCTGTTATGTACCAGCCCATTGGCCGCGCGTGCGACCAGGCTTTTTGTGATATGCCGGTTCGGCTTTGAGGCTTGCGTTGTTGTTGGTAATGTTGTTTGGGCTGGTGTTGGACGTCGTTGTTGGTGCGGTCGTCGTGTGGTGCTCTGCACTGCAAGCGACAGTGGTCCACCGGCGAGGTGTACAGTAGCGGAGTCTTCCTTGATTACCGTCACCCTTGGTTGTCCGAACATGCAACAACCACCAAGCCAACAACCCTCCCCCTTGCCTTTCCTCCCAACTAAAAATACAGGGGCACGTGGAACTCGGGGTTCCTTGCGACCGAGGCGGGCACGTTCGGGAGGTTCGTAGGGGACGCGCTTATCACAGTGCTCGGCGTCATGACCCTGTCGTCGTTGGACTTCCTCCTGTTCTTCCCGTCGGTGGTTTTGGTGAGAGAGAGAGAGGATGGGAGTGGACCGACAAAGGCGTGGCAATA